ATAGCCTTGTGGGAGCTCTTTCAAGTGCAGCCAAGCCAGCTGCATGACCCACACCCAGGCGAGAGTTCTCCCACCCGGGGTTACACGGATTCAAGCCCACGCTCCATCACCAAGGCAGCCAGATGGCCCTGGAAGAAAGCTGGCGACCCTCTCACTTTCATTTCAACAGCAGCAAACAATGTTCAATGTTTAAAATAAACTCTTCCAGATGAGCTAAAGATAAACTCTGAGGTGGGTGGACTGGGGCTCTCCAGGGCTGCCTCCGACTCTGAAGTGTTTGATTACATTAACACAAAACTCCTGGGCAGAATCGGCTTCTGTCAACAGAATGCTCCAGCCCAACACCTCTAACATGAAGCCACTTCTGTCCTTTCATGGATGGGCCACAGAAAGGGGTTCTGCTTTTTCACAAAACACTGAGGCTGCCCATTTCCCAGGGTTTCCCAATCTACCGGCAGCATGTCAGGGCACACATTCCATCTCAAATGACCATCACGCGTTTCCCCACACGCATGCATGTGTGAATGCACACACACGCAGAGATAATTATAAACTAATAACAGGGCATCCTGCTCTTCCATTGACCCAACGGCTTTAATTGCAGGGTGCATCTAAAAGAGCCACCATTTCCTCTTAAGTCTGCAAGTAGGGAGCTGCCGGTAACAATGTAGTGGAGTATACAGAGAACTCTGTGAGTCTCGAAGACCTAGGTGCCTAGAACACTTAGGATCAGAGAATTAAGCTTCTAAAGCTAGGACGGACCTTCGAAACCATTAAGTCCAATCCTCTCATTTTACAAGAGAGGAAACTGAGGTACAAGGAGTTGAAGTGACCTTTCCTAGGTGGAACAGCTGGTAAGTGCCTGAGGGAGGAGCTGAACCCAGGGCTTCCTCACTCGCAGGTGCCTCATTAGAGGCCTCGCTATAGGCATGTCACAGCTTTTAGCTTCTTATAAAATACCCTAGAGGGCTATTGTGGAAATCAAAGATGCACATGCTTTGTAAAGCCCCATGGAGACCTTACAATGCAGCCTCTTGTGCCGTCTGGAAGGCCTGGGTGCCAGTCCACCTATAACACACCCTGGCTGCCACCCCCGCAAGCCCCTTTCGCCTCTTCAGGCTGGAAGAAGGTACAGAGGTGCCTAGACCAGTGAAATCACAAGTCCGGTCCAAAAAATGCTATGTAAATGTCAGCTGCTACCACTGCAGCCGTTACTCCTGGGGATGGCTTGGATCTCTAGAGTGGCTGGGGACTCTGGCCACCAGCCAAAGCAACAATCCAATCTGGGTTCGAATCTCAGCTTTACTTCTTTGTACCTGGTGACCTTGGGCATGCCATTAAATCTTGCTAGGCCGGGGCAGCTAGGTGGTGCAGTGGATAGAGCACTAGCCCTGGATTCAGGAGGACCTGAGCTCAAATCTGGCCTCAGACACATAACACTTACTAGCTGTGTGACCCTGGGCAAGTCACTTAACCCCATTGCCTAGCCAAAAAAAAAAAAATCTTGCTAGGCCCTTCCAATACCAATAATAACACTGCTACCTCACATTCACACAGTACTTGCTATGTGCCAGGCTCTGTGCCAGATGCTTTACAAACATTAGTTCATTTGGTCCTCACAACAATACTGCGAAGTAGGTACTGTTAAGACTTCCATTTTACAGATGAGGAAACTGAGGCAAGCAGAAGTGAAGTAGCTCACCCTGGGTCACCCAGCTGAGTGCATAGCACAGGCATCTGAAGCTGGATCGGAAGTCAAGGCTTCCTGCCCCCAGGGACTGCCCCCTAGCTGCCGGCTGCATGCCTTAATATCAAACTTGAGACTGCGTGGCGGCAGGCACGTTCCCTAGCAGAGCCGGAGGCCCAAAACAGAATGCGTTTTCACGTTCAAGTCTTTAATGAAGACGACAATTCAACAGCCATTTAGGAAAGCTCGATCCTGGGGAGACGTGGGAGGACAGCCCAGGGATAGTGAGGATGTGAGAAGAGAACAGTGCTTCCAGGTAAAGGAGGCGACATTAGGTACCACAGAGGGAGACGGGGCCAGCGATGACTTTAAGGGGGGCAGACGTCTAGGTAGAGGAGGAAGTTGTGTTGGAGAATGGGGCTGATCACTTTCTCCCAGCCCAGAAATGCTGCTGCAGCCTCTGTGCTGCAGAGCCATCCGCAGCTCCCTTGCAGCTCACACTGCCTAGCCAAGAAGCTTCCACTCACTCTCGGAACCCCGCATGACAGAATTCGGGGGAGCGGACCATCGGCTATCAGGAGCTGCCTTCTCAGAGGAGGAATTTAGGGGCAAGGCGGGGGGGGGGGGAGTGGCCACGCCTAACCACGTGGGAAGGGTGGGGCAGAGGCAAACCCACTAGGCCTCCTTGTTATATGGAAATTTGGCTCATGGGCGGTGTCCCTACTCCGTTAGTGGCAGCACCACCTTGGGGAGAGAGAGAGCTGGACTTAGTTAAACAGGCTCGGGTTCAAAGCCTGCCTGTTGACGCTGACTAGGGAGCGAACACGGACCTCTCAGACGCTCAGGCACCTCCCCGAGCTCAACATCTTACATGGCCCGTGACGGGTGCTGCTGCAGGGCCTCTGAGGGGAGGAAAGCCAGGTCCTCAGCCTACAGACTTCTCTTTCTGTTAAGTGAAGGCTGTTACTACTGAGGACACATTTGACTGAGAGCCCTTTCAGTCACATGGAAATCGGTCCAGTCTTTCTTCCTGCTCAGATTAAACTGCTTCCTTTCATGTTACCTACAACTAACAGGAACCCCCTGTGGTAACATCTGAGGCTGTCTTGGGGGCAGCGTCCTAATGGGCGATTACGAACACGCTCCAATTTGACTGTTCCCGAGGACATTTGGAATCAATTAAATATTCAAATACAGGTTTTCAGATCTCGAGCCAGGCACAGCAGGTTTGAGGGATAAGGGGCTTTGGGGAGATAGCTGCTGTTCCTCACACCAAAACTCTATTTGGAGACAGGTTAAAAGCAAAACACAAACAAACCAAACCATGCTGTCCAGGCCTCCCGGATCTTCCAGCAAACAGCTTCCCTGACATTAGAAATGCTACAGGAAGAGGAAAGGGAGCTGAGCTTTGTCAGGGCTCACAGGAGAACCTCTGGGCATGAAGCTACTGGTGACTTTTTAAAAGATGTCACTGTTCCTAGGACTGAGGCTGTCCATCACTGATCCTCTCGCCATTGTACAGGCTCTGTTTGCAGGTAAATCCATTTATGGCCTGGAGTAGTGAGAAAGCCTGGCACTTCCTGAGCAGTCTGAGTGAAGGCGATTTAAGTCCATTTCTCTACTTTATGCTGCTCCCCCTTCTCCCAGGCCCCCAACACCTGCACAGACTGTATTACTGCACCAAGTACACTGAGAGAGCAACACCTTATTTATTGACAGCATCAAGGAATGACTGATTCCCCCATTAGTGAATTTTCCAGATACCTGAGGATTTCTGTGCCAAAACTTCAAAATCCAACATTTTTGTTGAAAATACTTCCAAGCATGTTATAAACTCCCCTACCTCTGATGTAGGAGATGCTAAACCTACCTAACCTCATCCTGATGTCTCGGGTGGGGAAATAATTATGATTGTAAGGCAGCTAAGAGGGCAAAGCGGCTAGAGCCCTAGACCCAGTCAGGAAGACCTGAGTTCAAGCCCAAGTTCAGATACAGACTAGTTGTGTTGCCCTGATTAAGTCATTTGACATCTGTCTACTTCAGTTTTTCAACTGTAAAATACAGATAAAAACAGCGCCTCTATTCCTGGGTTGTATCAAATGAGAGAATATTTGTAAACCCTAAAGCATTACATAAATGCTAGCTGTTATTATTATTATTAAATTGTCCTGCGATATTCTTAGGGTAGATTATATTATTTATGTCTGTTAGCTACTGTTTCTCATTGAGGTCAGTAGCCTCAGTGGCCATGAAACATTTGATTTGAACATTCTAAGGGGCATTAGAAATCTAGCCTGATCTTGTTTCACAGAGAAGCAAAGATGAAAGGTCTCGGCTGGTTTGTGGCACCATAAGGAAGTTTTGTACCAACTCCCGGGATCATTGTTCTACTGATTTTGGATCCAAAGTAAGCAAACTGGTTGGATGAAGGAGCCTATTTTCCCATGATTCTAAATCAAGGAAGTATGGGTCTGATGGTAGCCTCACCAAAAAAGTGCATGGGGTTTGTGAGTTTTTTCCCTAACCAAACATCTTCGATTATTTCTGCATTTTGGACTGTTCTGGACGGCTTCATAGAAGAAGGGCTCTACTGTCTCCATAGTGGTACATACCACCTGAATCAATGCTAGAAACAATATATCTGATGGCTACCCCATCATACAAATGGCATTGGGTTTGCACCCCTCTACTGCTGACAATCCAACTCTTTTATTACATTAGCTGGTCTCAGGTATTGTCAAGCAACTCAATCACCCAGTAAAAGACCCCTAAAAAAAAAAAAGAAAAGAAAAAGAAAAGTAAGACCCTGTAGGAAAGTGTAACTTCTCAATTCAGATACTTAGGAAAACAGTTCTCTTCGTCTCTCCAACCACCTTTAACTAGGGCTGATTGCAAATAGCAAAAGCCATTGCATTAATAATTTTCATCCCTTCTGTAAATGGCCTAAAGCCAAGCAATGGAAGGGAGAAAGAAGAAAGAGAATTCACAACTCTGAGCTGGCCAGGCAAGCTGCTCATCACACTGCAGCCATTACAAGGCCTCTTGTTTCATCAAACACTAGGGTGGGAAGGATGTCTTCCAAATGGCAGCTCAGTTGGCCTTAGTGTTTCCCAGATGAGTGCTTCATTTTTCATCATTACTAAATTAATAGCCCCCATTTTATAACACTGCCACAAAGAACATTTTTCCCCCACTCAAAAAGCTCAATTCTGGGGGGTGGGTGGGGGGAAGACCTGAATCCACTGAAAGTCATCATGTATCCAAATGCAGAAAAGATGGCATTCCTTGAAATAAAGAGCCCCTTTTAATGAAGTCGAGGTGTAGGACAGATTTATTAGCTCCGATTTTCCCATGTTACATTCTAGCTGATTTCCTGTCCATATTGCTAAGCAATGCAGACCCCTTTGTAGGATTAACTTTTTTTTCTAAAGAAGTCGGAGAGCACAGGATGCAGCCATACTGACCACACCTGCACGGCCACACCTGGGATGCTACAAATGTTACCAGTCCTGGATTACAAAGCACCGTGTCCAGGCCGGACAGAAAGCAGCTGTGATTTACGACCTGCTAGGATCCTTCGTGCTCAAACAGTCGAGGCTGAGAAAGACCTTACGAATGGACTTCAAAGCAGCAGCTGCTCTCACCCTCGAAGAGTGACAACGAGGGTAGGTGCACTGCAAGCTGGACTCTTTTCACCAAGTTCTTTGCACTTTTATGAGACGGCAGAATACTAAAAAACAAAACAAAATTTAAAAAAACAGTCATTTAAAAAATGAAGCAGGGGACTTTGATGCTGCTGGTCCTATGAAATGACCTGGGCTCTAAGTAAGAGCGAAGCAGCAGTGCAGGGAGGCAGAGAAAGCCCAAGCCTGGTGCCAAGGGCCCTCCAAGCCTCAGCTTCTTTCTCCAGGAGCGTGGGGATCAATGCTACTTGTCACCTACCAGGATGACATTTAGAAGCTGGGAGTCTGGCACTGGTGAGGGAGGTTTATCATGCAGAAAGAAGTCCACGACGCCAAGTTTGGTCAACAGTGTTTATTCTAACAATTCTGGGTCCCACCCCAGTGGGGCACTCCTGGGGCCCCTGGCAGTGCCATGACTGCCCAGTTCTTAGTTCACGCACATGCTCAGCTAAAAGCCTAACAAACAGCGGCTAGTCTATGAGCATTCAGACCAGGGGTTTTCTGTAGCCTCAAGCACCTGGCTGTGAATGCCAGCAGGGGAGCCTTTTAAGGCTCCAATGATTATTTTCACATAAGAGGCCCACGCAACTCATTTGTTTAGTGTCTCAGTGTTCCAGTCCTGACAGGCCTGTGCCTGAGGAAAGGCCTAGCCTGTACTGCCCCAGAGTCCCCACAGCTACTTCAACATGCCCACCATCACCTCACTGATATCCCAGAGCTTTCTCGCCACAGAATCATCCATGGCTTTGGGTAGCAGGTCCTCCTCTTTGCAATCTCCAAAGTACTTTCCCGACACGCCCTCTACTTCTGCTGAGGAAGCCAGGTAGACCGAGGTTTGGGCTCCTTCTACAGGGCTTTTGAAAAAAGCCCACGACACCAGATTGAAAAGTGGCTTGACCAGCAGGGGAATGTTTATATGCCTCCCCAGGTTGGTTCGGACAATGCCAGGATGAAGCACGTTCACGGTAACGTTTGTGCCTTCTAGGCGGCGGGCTAGTTCTCTGGTAAAGAGAATATTGGCCAACTTGCTCCGACTATAACAGAAACTTCTATTATAGTTTAGCTCACTATTCAAATCTTCAAAGTTGATTTCTCCATATTTGTAAAGTTTGGAAGAAACCACTACAATCCTGCTGGGGGCCGAGTCTTTAAGGCGGTCAAGAAGCAGGTTAGTAAGCAAGAAGTGGCCCAGATGATTCACCCCAAACTGCATCTCGAAGCCATCTTCTGTCTTCATGTATGGGCACTGGAAGACTCCAGCATTATTGATCAAGACATCCAGCCGGGGCTCCTCCTGGAAATGCAAAGAGAAGGGGTGGATGAGGTCTTGCGGCAGGTGGCCACACCGGCTTTATCCCAACCAACCCCAACCCAAAGGATGTCAAAGCAGCAGCTTCCCATCCGGATTTCAAACCAAGGTCTCCCTTTTCACCCAGAGAGACTCGCCACAGTCTTTAGCACTTTCTGCCCAATGGAGCCGTCCTGCCAACAGGGGGCCCAGAAAAACATGGCACATAGCCCAGGTGATCAGCCAGCACAGGCCTTAGCAACAGAATCCCAGACTTGAGACTTTGGGGCTTGTCCCCATCCATCTCACACCAACAGGCCCAGATTCTAAAAGGTCTCTTATAGTGTTCCCATGGCAACACAACGATGCTCAAGGACCTGGGATTCCATTAACGTGGGTCCTCCCTCCACTGAGATGGCTCACGATTCCTTCTAGAACATAGGAGATGCTTTGCGAACTGCTGGGGCTACTCCTAACCTCTCTGTGGTTGATGACTCGCCTCCCCTGGGTTTCTGCCTCCTCCCACCTGTCTGCTCTTCCTCAGCCAGAGCCTGGGTCCCCACCCCTGTCCCCTTTTTCCCTCAGGGTGTCTGGGGGACAGGGGCAGGGCTCTGTCCCTCCCCCAATCTCTTGCATTGCCATGGGTTGGATGGTCATCTCCAAGCAGATGCCTTCCTGACCTAAGGAGCCAGCTCCGCTGCTGTCATGGGATAAGCCCGAAGAGTTTCGAATCCCGAGTCCTCTCTGTCTTCTCAGAGGGCTCTCCTTGCCTTGTCCTGCTTCTCTAAGCCCACAGGTTTCTCAGTTCTATCCCTGTAACATTTCTCACTCATCACAGAGTCCAGCCCTCACTGCCTATGACTTGGACTCCGACCTGTGACCTCCCAATCCAGCTCCCTGCCTCAGGCCTGTTCTGCACCCAGAAGTCACTGTGCTCTTCAAAAGTCTGCAGTAGCTCCCTATTGTCCAGAATCACACAAAATCCACCCATCAGTCAAAGGGCATTTATAAAGCCCTGCAGTTAGTGCTGGGAATGTGGAAGCCCAGCAAAGCAGCTCCCGCCTGCCCTCAAGGAGATGAAGTTCTAGAGGGTATGGCAACATGTACTCATGTAAGTCATGAAAAAGATAGGAAGAAATACAAGCTAATGGCGGGGGAGGAGGTCAGGAGCAATTAACAGTAGGTGGGGGGGGCGGGGGGGCGGAGAAGGGATTGGGGGAGGGACCAGTAAAAACCTCTTGTAGGAGGCAGTGACGGAGCTCACTGTAAAAGCTTGGCCACTCACCCACTCTGCACTCCAGTCACACCACATGGTTGGCTTTTCCCTCTCCCACCTCCAGGGCTTTGCACAGCTGGTCTCCCAGCCCCTACGGAAGGGTTTGGTCCCGTAAGAGCCTAACACATCTGGCTGACTGACAGGAAGAAGCAGATGAAGTCCTACAGCCGACCACAGCTCGCTAACACTTCTTCCAGGACTTGCTGTGGCCCCAACAAGCTAAGATGTTCAGAGTCTGGGCAGAGAAAAGAGGAGTCTTGTTTTTTAAACAGTGGTTGGTTGGTTGTTGGGGGGTGAGGGTAGGGAGCCAATCCTGCAATTTTATTGGTCTAGGGAGCTCCCGGTAAGGATACTCCCTCTCCCAATATCCCTTAAGCTGCCTGGGGCACTGAGAAGTCAGAAAATCTGCCTGGAGTCCCAGAGCCCACATGCCAGAAGCAGGACAACTTCTGATCTCGCTGCTTTGAAGGACATTTCTCTATCCACCACACAGGGTGCTGCTGGGGACCTTTGCAAGGGGTCTGCGAGGTCAAAATTATTCTCATAAAAATACTGGGATATTTTAATTTATAATACAGCAATTATAGATAGATATAACCAATATAAGGGGGCAGCTAGGTGGTGCAATGGTCAGGGCACCAGGCCTGGCATCAGGAAGACTCATCTACCTGAATTCAAATCTGGTCTTGGACACTTACTGTGTGACTCTGCACAAGTCACATTTAACTGCTTGCCTCAGTTTCCTCATCTGTAAAATGAGCTGGAGAAGACCATGGCAACCCACTCCAGTATCTCTGCAAGGAAAATCCTACATGGGGTCATGGAGAGTTGGACATGACTGAGAAGCGGCTGAATGACAACATGCTCAATATAAACAAAAGCTCTTGGGTCTGAGGACTGCCATACTACATGGTGCTGCCTCTCAGTGAGGGGGCAGGGAGGTTCCCAGAGAGGTGCAGGGGATCTCTACACAGGGAAATCTGCACATCCAGGAGGTGGGTGTCAAAGCCACTGGCTCATCCCAGTTATTCCCTCCAAAGTGCACGAGCTTCCGCTGCGGGCAGAGGGCTGCAATCAGGGAGATCTCAATGCTTCCAGGAGTTCCCTTACCAAGAGTTCCCTACACAATGACCACCCAGGTCTGGTTTAAAAACATGAGGTCATTCCCTTCCCGTGGCTGGACACCAGATCACCTTTGGGGTGGGGGGCAGGGAAGACTGGGTGTCTTAGTGAACTGCAAGCTCAGTGTCACTATGGTGCGGTCCAGCAGAGGTCATCGTGATCCTAGACTGCCCTGAAAGGCCCGGCATCCGAGCAGAAGATGGCCAGGTGTCACTGCACTGCTCTGAGCACACATGCAGGGCAGGTGCAGTTCTAGGAACTTCATCATAAGCAGGTCATTAAGATGCTATAGAAAGCCCTGCGACCAGCCAATCTGCGTGATGAAGGAACTAGGGGTGCTGTGAAGAAAACCCTCCGAGCGGATCTTCTGGAGGGCGAAGCTCCCTGGGAAAGGCTTCAAAGGAGTGAGGGTCACACTTGTCCTGAGATGGCTCCACAGAGCCCAGCTCCGAGCAGCGGGCTTCACACGAGGAAAGCCTTAGGAACAAACTCTCCCAGAGTAGAAAGAAGCATCTGGGAAGACTCTGGGCTCCCCTCACTGGGGATCAGCGGTCTTCCACCACTGTGCCATGCTGCGCCACATGACAAATACCACCCCTACTTAACAGGTGGCAATGTCAGCCACGTCCTGGAATCCCTGGGTCTTGTTTTCCTTCCAATATTCATAAAGACATTGGAATTTGGAGTAGGAAAGGAGCACTTTTATACTCACCTTCTGGAAGCTTTTCCCAAAGGCATCATTTTTTTAATTGAAAATTCTTCAGTTTCCAAAAATCTGTTTTTTCTTCCTTTCCCTCTCCATTGTAGGAGGAGGACGAGGGAAGAAAAACACCCCCCTGTAACAAATACGTAGCCTATCGCTGCTCCGAGCACTCTGCATTGATCTGGGTGCGTTCAGGGTTAGTTTTCCAGGGTAGCTGTTCTGGAAGAGGTTGCTCTCTTGCTCCTGCTCACTTCACCGAGTCTCCCCAGGCTTCTCTGGAGCCGTCCCTGTGTCACGACTTGCAGCCTGGCAGTTCCTACGCCATTCCAATAGATGAGTGCTTCCCGACCCCACCCCCAATGTCCAGCTCTTTGCAACTACACAAAGGCCACTCTAAACACTTCTGGGCATAGGGACCCGTTGCCCTTGCTTGATCTGTCTGGGTCTAAGCCTGGCAGGGACAGTGCAGCAGTTAAGGTGCTGGACTTGCAGTCAGGAAGACCTGAGTTCAAATCTTGCCTGAAATACTTACTAGCTCTGTGATCTGGAGTGAGTCACTTCCCTCCTCCTGGCCTGTTTGTCTATTACAGGGATCAAACGGAATAACATGTACAAAGTGCCCTGCCAACCCCAACACGACACACAAGTTAATTATTAATACTGTTACCGCACGGCTGTGTCAAAGGGCATGAACAGTTCTGGAACTTTATGAGCACTCTTCCAAACTGCTTTCCAGAACAGTGGGGCCCACACCCGTGGCATAAGCAAATGGTCCTGATTTCTCACAACTCCTTCATCATTGGCCATTTTCTTTTTTGTTAAATTTACTTGTCTGAGGGGTAGGAGCAGGAACCACAGAGTTGCTTTAATTTGCATTTCCCTAATTGTCAATGATTTGGAGCATTTTTTTTTCAAATGGCTATCGATAGTTTAGATTTCTCCCTTAAAAATGACACTACCTGCGCTTTTCCTTTGTCCATTTATCAGTTGTGGAATGGCTCTTAGTTTACATATCTTGGAAAAGAGACTTTATCAGAGAAAATTGCTGCAAGTCCTTTCTCCCAGTTACCTGACTGGTGGATTGGCTTTGTTTACATACAAATGTTCACACTTCCTGTCATCAAAACGGTTGATTTTGTCTTCTGTGCATCCTGGCACCCAGTAGGCACTTCAGTGCTTGCTGACTTGACTCTCTGCCCCTTGGTTGGTATGATAGATCTAAAAGGAAACGTCTTCCTTGCTCCTCTGACTTGTTCCGAGGCCCCTCCTCTCCCCCCCTCTCCCCGGGCCTCCTGATCCCGTGGTTCCTGCAGGGTCTTGGCCCAGCAGCCAGGATCTCTGGCTCCTGCAGGCTGTGCACCTTCCTCATTTCTCACTCAGGACCAAACCGTCCTGAGGATCATGGCTTTGGTGTCTATTATCACATACTGGGATATGGAGCTGCCAGCCCTCCTCCTGTCTACATTTTCCCCCTCGTGATTTCCCTCGAGATTCTTGACCTTTTCTTTTGCCAGACAAACCTTGTTCTTATTTTGTTGAGATGTTCCACAGTCTGCCTGGTGTGGCACAGAGCATGTGCATCAGTTTAGGTTCGTGGTGAGCTAGGGCAGTTCAGTCTTCAATCTTCTGAAGACTTTTGGGACACCCAGGACGACTGGGCCCAGCCATGAGCAATGAGGAGGTTTCTGTTCAGGACTCCATCTTAGTGTTCTCGGGGCAGATTCCCAGGCTGATGATGCCTCCTGCTGTCATTTTCTACGGTGTTATTCTTTCCATCTCTCCTGTTGGGTTTCCTTGGTCACAGAGACTAGTACCCCTGCTTTTTAAATTTTTTTATAGAATAAGTTCTGCTCCTGCCCTTTATTTTATCTTTGTGTGTATCTCTGGTTTTTACTGTGTTTCCTGAAAGCAAGACACTGTTGAAGTCAAATGTTTAATCTGCGGCCCTGTCTGCTTTGGTCAGTTATGGTGTCCCACGTGCCTGATGCTCTGCATCGAAAAACAGGATTCGGAGAAGAGAAGGGGTCCCGACGCCCCCCCCCCACACCGATGCTGGACTCACATGGCCCAGGACAGTCTGGACGTGCCAGGGCCAAGGTTCTAGGTGTTCTACCGGGCTTTTGAAAAGTCTCCCCTGACTGGGGCCTGGCGGGGGCAGCGATGGGGGGGCAACCCTCATCCTCCTCCTCCCCCTCATGGGAGGGGGGTGCTTCCGGTCGACCTTTCTTTGCAAACATGACCTCACACGATCCTAACACCAACCCCACTTTACAGAAAAGGAAACTGAGCCCGAGTGACCTGCCCACGGGGACATGCCCAGGTCCGGGGCTGCATCTGTCCACTGGGCCCAGAACCTCCACACTTTCAGCCCTGGGCAGCACCATCGCCTCCCTCCCACCCCACCCCGTCTCCCTGCCCCAGTCTCCCCATCTAGGACCAAGCCCACGAGCGGCCCGCGAAGCTCCCGGAGCTCCGCCAGGTGCCCCCTTCCTGCCCTTTGTCTCCTGCTTCTGCGCCTTTGCACTCCTGGGCTCCCAACACAACTTCCCCTCTCCCCAAACCCCAGGTAGACTGCCTGGCTTTCCTTCAGGCTACACCTTCCCTGACCCGCCCCCCTGCCTGGGCATTCCCCCCAAAGCAGACGAACTAACCCCTTGTTGGCAACCCAGGCGGTGGGCACTGGGGAGGGGATGGAGATGAGAGGGGCATGAGCAGTAGGCCTGACCCCTCACCTGCAGGTCGCCCCCACTCCTCCACGTGAGGCTGCAGCCCTGGCCCCACTGCGCATGCCCCTTTCCACCTCCAACCCCCCTCACTGCGCATGCTCCTCCACCAGCAAAGCCACCCCACCAGAGGGCAACGCCGGCCCCACTGCGCATGCCCCAATTCACCTGCAAGCACCCCCCCCCTCACTGCGCATGCTCCTCCCACCAGCAAGCCGCCCCGACCCAGGCTGTCGCCTCGGCCCCACGGCGCAGGTCCCGCTCACCTGCAGCACCTCTTGACAGAAGGCGCGCACGGAGCGCAGCGAGGCCAGGTCCAGTTCCTTGACGATCAGCTCCCCGGCGGGCTCGCCTTCGGCTGCGGGCAGCGCCTGGGCCCGGGCCCGCTCCAGCTCCTGCTCCCGGCGGAGCTCAGCAGCGGCCTGCTCGGCGCGCCCGCGGTCGCGGCAGGCGAGGATGACGCGGGCCTCCCGACGCAGCAGCTCGGCCGCCGTGGCCCGGCCGAGGCCGCTGTTGGCGCCCGTCACGATGACCGTCTTGCCGCGCATGAGGCCGGCCGCGGCCCGACCCGCGGGCCTCACGTAGCGGCGCACTGCCAACCACAGCCCCCCGCCCAGGGCCGCTGCCAGCAGAGCCGAGCACAGCCCTACCATAGCTCGGGCGCCGGTCGCGCATGCGCGGGCCTCTGGCGCGGTGGATTCTGGGACTCGTAGTGCAGACCACGTGGGGGGAGGAGCTCCAGGGTTGTCAGTTTCCCGGAGTACAGCTGGGTTCTCGGCTGTTGGCGCTCCCACCCGTCACTGCTTCCTTACACTCGAATAGTGTGGACCTTAAAGTCCACCAAAAAACCCCACCCAGATTCCGCCCTGACCCCCTCCCCCAATAATTTATTGTTCGTCTATGACTTTCCACATTTTTATTTGTGAAATTGTTTCAAATGCTGACCTTTGCATGTATCCCCACTAAAATTCCTCCTATTCAAACACACTCATTCTCCCCCATTGAGTTTTGTTTTCTTTGGAATGGAATTCTGCCATCAGACATCCGAGCTAATCCTCCAAACTTAATCCAACCTCTGACTCTAACCCTAAAATGTGGAACAATGTAGGCCTTCGATACTCCTCAACAGGTCATCCTTCCAAGCCGTTAATGATGTAACCCTAAATGTGACTTTGTAGCTCTTCATTCAAATAATTCCAAATCCACCCAGAAGCTACCACTTAGCCTCCACTTCTCCATCTTTGTTTGTCCTCCTTGTGACCTGCATTCCCTCCTCCTGGAAGGAATGCACTGGCCTCATTTTCTTATTTTCCCTAACTTTATAGTTGTCTAGGTGGCAGCTAGATGGCACAAAGCATAGAGTTCAAGAGTCTGGAAGACCTGAGTTCAAATCTAGCCTTAGACACTAGTTGTGTGACTCAGGGCAAGTCACTTAACTTCTCTCTGCCTGTTTCCTCAACTGTAAAGTGTGGATAATAATACCTAGCCCGAAGGTTGTGAGGATCAAATGATCAAATCTGTAAGGTGCTTAGCACAGTACATGGCATCCAGTAAGTGGTTGATAAATGCCTTTCTTTCCTTCCTTCCTTCCTTCCTTCCTTCCTTCCTTCCTTCCTTCCTTCCTTCCTTCCTTCCTTCCTTCCTTCCTTCCTTCCTTCCTTCCTTCCTTCCTTCCTCCCTCCCTATTCCTTCCTCCCTCCCTCTCCACATCTCTATAGCAGCCTGTTTTTATATGGTCCTTGAACTGAGAATGGTTTTTACATTTTAAATAGAATAAAACTTCATTAAAAGATGCAAAAAAGTTTCTTAACTCATGGGTACCTGGTAATCTGCTATAATTTATAGATTGTACTATTAGGTGGCACAGTGCATAGAGTGCCTGGCCTAGAGTCAGGAAGACCTGAGTTCAAATCTGGCCTCACACACTCAGCTGTGTGACCTTAGGCAAGTTACTTAACCTTGTCGTCCTCACTTTCCTCATCTGTAAAATGAGCTGGAAAAGAAAAGGGCAAACCTGCCAAGAAAACCCCAGAGGAGTCTCAAAGAGTCAGACATGACTGAACAACAGCTCCGTACTATTCCATTTGGTGTTCTCGTTATTTCACATAGGTTCAGTTATCTCTATGCAAATGATTCCCAGACTCATACATCCAACCCTAGCCCTTTCCTGAGGTACCATCACTCATGACCAGGTTGCCTCTTGGACATCTTGAATCAGATGGCCTACAGATGTCTCAGACTGAACAAATGCAAAACAGAACTCATTATCTTTTCCCCTCAAACCCTCTCACCTTCCCAGCCTCCCTATTCCTTTTGAGGGCATCATCGCCTTCCCAGTTACCCAGGCCTACCACCTTGGCGTTTTCCTCAAATCCTCATTTTCCTTCACCCAGCATATCCCCTGCATGACCAAATCTTGTCAAGTTTTACAATATGTCTCCTTTATGTTCCCCTCTCTCCATTTTATAACCCTGGGTCATGCCTTCTAACTGGTCTCCCTCACCTGAAGTCTCCTCCCTCCATTCATCCTTCACTCCATTGCCAAAGTGATTCTCCTGAAGCCTAGGCCTCACCATGACCCACCTGCTCAGAGAGCCCCAGTGACCCAGCCCTAATTTTGCTTGGCACCTTCCTAACCTGACCCCTTCCTTTCTAGTCTTCTCAGACTTTAACCCCTCAATGTACTTGGGCACTGTGGCCTCCTGGTAGGTCGTTGAACCCAGTGCTCAATCTCTCCACTCTGGGCTTTTGCATTGGCTATCCCATGTCAAGAATAATCTGCTCTTCCCTTTCCCCTCTTGTCTTCTTTGGCTACTTGCCTAACTCAGTGCAGATCCCACCTTCCCTTGGAAGCCTTTCCCCATCTCACCTGATGTCCCAGATTGTCTTCCACTTACCCTGTAGATACCTTAGATGTACATAGTCATTTGCACGTTGTCCCCTCCATTTGACAAGCTCCTTAAGGGCAAGGACTCTAGATATGCTTGTATTAGGACATCTACCTGAAAGGTGCCGGGGACAGTTTCTCGATGAACAAATATTTATGGAGCAACTACCATGTCCATGGCACTGTGCCACATGTAAATGGTACCGTGGAAAAGAGAATGCTAAATATACTTTACAAAAATACATACCATTTTGTACTGTGCATATCCTTTCCAGGCTAAATTGGAGATTTTTGAAGTTAAAATAAAAACATGCATTTCAGTATCTTTTGTGGAAATCCTTGGAGTTTTAAGCCCTCTGTTTATACTCAGAACAGATGTAGTCTCAGTAGTATCAGGCCAAACGTCCTTATAGTAGAAGCTTGTGGAGAAGTTTCTGAATCCTTCTGGAAATTGAACATGCGCGGGGAGGAATGTGAGGTAATGATCCCATAGCCGTGCAGAGATCAGAGGGTGAATGCTGAGGATGGCTCTCATTCTGTGATGTTCTTCACTTTCTAGCGTGCTGAATGATGAAGCATTTCTTGACTCACTCATCCTCAGATGGAGCAGGCGAGTATCCATCTGGCTAAACAAAAACCTACAGAATGTCCATTGATGAGAGGAAAATGGGACCAGCTAAAAGTACTAACTGGCAGAACCTGAGAATGCAGAAGGCAATCCTGCAAAACACACCCAACGATACTAATAACAGCAAGTAAGACAAAAAGAAAACAGCAGCTGATCAAGAACTTTCTCATACTTCTGCATCCAGAACCCTGTTCTGCCCGAGAAATCAATGGATGTTCCTGATCTACAGAGCTCTGTAGAAGAGAAGCAATCTTTGTCTACAAGCCGAATTGGAAACAAAAAGAGAAAAGCTTGTTTATGTGGTCTAAAAGGCAGTTGGTGATAAAAACGGGATTACTCCGGTGGTTAAAATTGGCCAAGTGCCTCAGTGGTACTCTCCCAAGAAGGTGTCTCACAGGCTGTTAAGTGGTGGCGAAAAGCCCTCTATCCATGGATGAAGACTTTGAGTTTCCATCAGTCCTGGGACAGTTCTGATCATCCTTCCTGGCTATCACAGAAGCAAAGGAATCATTTTCTTGAAGCAGCTGGCCAGTGCACTGCTATTTGGAACTGAACATCTGCCTATCAGCTGTGTTCTTCTGTGAAGGACTTGTCAAGTATTTGTTATTGCCACCTCATCAAGGTTGATCTGCCGTGTGTAGACAACCAAACTACATCTTACTGATGCTCACTTCAAGAAGAGGTGGTGGAAAGCTAAGCCCCGAGAAGGAGAAGTCTCCAAAACAGAGAGAGGGAAAAGCAGTGGAAGATTCCCAACAAAAGACTGGATTCTGCTCCTGCTGGAGGTGGGCCTGGGGCTGTCTCCCTTCTGGAGGTTCTCACGCCAGCAGAGTTTAACTCGGGGATTTAAATGCCTTGCAAAGAACTCTTATGAAAACATTTGGAATGACTTTATGAAGGAAAATATCTATGGTGCTTGTAGCTAAATCTACAAAAGGAGAAGATGTAATTGCTACATAAGAAAAACAAACCAGAGGTTGCTAGTATTGAGCTTCCTCTTTCATTGCCCCCACCCCCAGCCCAAGGCAAGCATCCAGTGAAGTGAGCAAAAGAAAACTTGTACCTTGAAGCTCAGGGTCAGCTGTAGGGGACCCCGCTCAATGATGGCTTGTCCTGAACCCTACTTACTCCACAATTCAAACTAGCAGCAGCTAGGTGGAGCAGTGCACAGAGTGCTGGCCTGGAGTCAGGAAGACCCGGATTCAAATCCTGCCTCAGACATTTACAACCTGTGTGGCCTGGGCAAGTCTCTTAGCCTCTGTTTGCCTCAATTTCTCCATTTACAGTTTCTGCAAAATGGGCATAATAATAACACATACCTCCCAGGGTTGTTGTGAGAATTCAGTGAGACAGTATTTGTAAAGCACTTAGCACACATTAAAATGCAATATAAATACTAGCTATCAGTATTGGCTGGAAGAAAGGAATGGGGTGACAAGCATCTTCTACAAAGAAGTAGAAACAGAAAAAGAACAACAGATTTGGGACAGAAAAACACTTGAGGGTAGAAGAGGTGGGTATACAGTTAAACCACATTAAGACAACATGTGGATTCTATACATACCAAAGTGACTGACCTTGAGGACAGGCTGTGCAGAGTTAATGGGGATTCTGGGACTCTCAGGAGAATGGAAAACAGTCATGAAACCTGATTACCATTACGGTAGAAGCAACACAGCCCTGGTCAGTCAGTCCACAGTTTGCAACCAGGTCCAAATATGACAAAAAGAATTAAAAGCTACAATCACAATTTTGATAACAAGCACCACATTTTACAAGCAGCCCAGAGAAAGACCCTCCAAATAGGAAGAGAAGGCACTTTGAGTAATGCAGCGTCATCCATATTCATTGCAGAAGAGGATCTTCCATGAAGAACGTGTGAAGTCCCAGATCCTTCACAGCCTGGCCCCTTCCTGCCATTCCACTGTTCTCGAACCTTACTTTCTCTCCCCCAAACGCACATTATGACTCTGGCCTCCTGGCTCTTCCTTGCAATGATCTCTCTCTCCTCTAGCTCCTTGAATTTCCAGTGGCCCTTCCTCAGCCCGGGAAGATCTCCTGCCATCTTCTACCTTGTGCCAGAAGGCTCTTGCAGACGCCTCCTGTGCACAGTCCTGCCCTTGCTAGTGGCTCCTGCCTTCCCCGAGATTCCTTTCCTGTACCTTACTTGGTATGTGACTTGGATGTCCATGGTTATCTGAATGTCATCTCTCCCATTTGGATGTGAGATCCTTGAGGAAAGACACCTCACTTTTTTTTCTTTGTAGCTCCAGGGCTTGATGCCCGTTTGGTCTATAGTAAGCACTTAATGATTACTACGTGAATGACTGCAAATCTAAGTGTACTCATCTACCCCAAACCCCAAGAACAAAAAATAAAATGATAGATATTCAACATTGTGTATTCTCTCAGATTCCGTTAATGAATTTGTTAGTTTTTAAAAACATTATATTTTATTAACTGTCACAAGAAATGGCTCTCTTGATAGGGGAAGGGGAGGGGGAGAGATATATTTAGAAATAAAGGTGATATCAAAACAAATGGTATCAACAGAATTTAATGAAAACACAATCCAAGAAAATTGTAGAGTTGTGAAGGACCTCACTCAAATTATTAAACCAGTCTAATCCAGTCTAGTTTTTGTCAGTTGCCTGGTGTACAAGTCACTTGGGATACGAAGACAAAACACGATTTTTAAAAATTGCCTTCATAATTCA